AAAGGGAGGAGGGGAAACATGTTTTCTCTGCTGCAGGTCAGCAGGCAGGGTGATAACTCTGGTCAATCATCTTAAAACAACAGGGGTGAAAATAGAAGGCTGGGATTATTGCCATGAACACAAAGCAGACAAGTTGTCAAAGTTTACAGTGATAAAGATGTTGCTAATTCAAGTGACTGAAGTCAGAATATTTTAAAACCAAAATGAAAACCACGAACAGAGCAAACTACCAAACCACAGAAATTCCCAACACGGATGAAGAGTCAACACTTTTCTAAAGAACTCTTCACCTATTTCTCTCACTCTGAATCGGATGGGCACAAGTCAGAGCACCTGCAGGCACACACACTTGTCTCTGCCCATCCTGCCTGCCAGGGAAGGGTCAGCAGCCACCAACATACTCACTGCATGCACAGGAGCAGCAATGTCTACATGGACCCAGACCCCAGGCCAATCGAAGCCGATGTGAGAAGCAATGAAGAGCCCAGCACAGGAGCTTGGAGTATTGTCTCTGTCCTGTAGAAATGATCAAAATGTAGTTGGTCTTGCAAGAAAACAAAGTTTCAATGGTTTATTCTTGCCTACAGAAAAGACAGTTATGTAAATCTAGTTCAAAGCTTCATGAATGGCCCTAGAACAGTCTAACAAACCAACCACACTGAAAATCCTTTGCCTCAGTCCCTGGCAGCAGTATGGCCCTGCTCAACTCCTCTTCTGCCTGAGCTGCAGTGTATTTGGAAGTTTACTGCACACTGAAACTGCCAAAGCAGCTGCAGCAATTCTGAGGTCTCAGTCCTCAATTTCCTGGTTTCTGCATCCCCAGTTACTGTCTCTGCTGGTTATGTATGACCTGAGGAATACACATTAACCTCCTAAACAGTCTCCATTCAGGAACTCAGCATTCATTTAGAGCCATGTTTAAAGGGCCCAAAGATACCTTTGCAGCAGGTTACCCTGTTTAAAACTGACACTCCGTGACATACAGACTGCAAAGCCCCAGGAAACAGACCCTGAAGACCATAACTATATGGCCCATTGCTAAAAGATTACAGCCCCCATGAAGAGCTTTCAGCAGGCTAGGACATTGTCCAAAAAACACATATTTTTATGTCACAAAGAAATGTAAAAGAAAAAAAATTCTTACTGCCACCGAGTTCTTCATATCAGCTACAGCAGAGGTAAATTCACTGAAGTGGAGTTCAGGGCAATACACCAGAGGATGGACCAAATCCCCACAGTTCCTGCCAGCTTTAACACAAGCCTTTTCCCACTCTTCATTATTGGTAAGGACAGCAGCATGATACTTCCCTGTAGCAATTCCCTAGTGAGAGAAGAGATGAAAGATAAAATCTACTGAGTTGCAAACACTGAGCACTGGACTGCTTGCATCAGAGGAAGAATACCATCTTTACTTTGAGGATGCAAAAGCAAAAAAAAAGTTGCATAAAGAACAGAAAAGAAACCTGGTTGAGTAACACAGTTATAAATCTAACACACTCCTGGCACGTGCTGTGCACAGAGGGTTAGTTTAGTGGGGTTGCTGTGGGCAATTTCCTCTTGCACAAGCTTAGGAAGCCTCCATCAAGCAGAATGGGTCAGGATAGCTCCTTTCCCCAAAGACTTGCAGGACAGAGGCAAAGTGCACAATGCCCAGACAGCAGAAGGATCCACACTCTGCCCAGCAGCTGTGTTGGTACCTGAGCTCCAGTAAGAGTGGCCATATCCAGAATGATATCAGCTCCAAGATCTTTGCATGCATAAGCTACTCCATCAGCCAGGATCAGTCTGCCTTCTGCATCAGTGTTATTGATCTCCACAGTTCTAGGAGGAGGAGAGGGCATTTAGGACATCAGTGCTTCAGGCTGGAAGAAGCTCAGATCACCTGTCTGGACTACAATACTGAGAGCAGACTCAAACCTGATGTCCTTTCTTATTTGCCTCTGCAAGTCTGTGCAGCTGCTTATCCCCCAGCTTCAAGCATCCACACAGAGCACACATGGAAAGGGAAAATGATAGTACTGCCCTCATGCAGGGCCTGGTTCTTGGGCCTGTGTGATGCCTAGCAAGATGAGCTGGGATTCTACAAACTCTACTGTCAAAGAGGTAACATACTCTGCTTAAAAGAAGATATTCTGATCCAAGGGCAGCTGACCTCTGTGACTGAGACAATACAGGCCACAGATGGACACAGAAAACTGGCTGTACAACAAAAAATCACCTAAATCCGAGTGCTTCAAAGAAACTTCAGCTCATGATAGATATGTATTTTGATGTGTATTTACAAACCCAGCAGGAAACTCTCAGCACACTTAAAACTCACTACCATGACTGCCTAAAATTCTATTATCAATATTTAGGGAAGCTGATGACAGGAAACTCTCACTACCATGACTGCCTGAAATGCTATTATCAATATTTAGGGAAGCTGATGAGGGACAGGTTCACATGGTTCTCAGATAAACAGAACAAAAATGATGTTTGCACTCAATGTTTCTGGGAAAAGGATAAATACAATCTTACTTTCCAGAGTAAAGAACATGAATGTCATCAGGCCTTGTTGCTCGTGGTCCCACTGCATTCTCAGCCAGACAAAAAACAGCATGAAGATTGTCTTTAAAGCCCTGGAACAACCACAGGAGAGAAAGAGCTTTTGAGTCACATGCAGCTAATTTATTGGGACTGAAATCCACGAGGGAATATAACTTCTTGACAGCAATGCCACTAATTTAATAGGAAATCTGGTGGGTTTTTGGGAGAGGTTTGTTTGGGTTTTTAACCTGGGACAGTTAGCCATAACAACATCATATTCTGAGGGAAAACAGGGCCAGTTTTACTGTCAATCTCTTGATAAAAGTCTGTGGCTGAAAAAATCTGGTCATGTTCTGAAGTCTAAAGGGCAAATGAATCCATGAGAACCTTTTAAAAATAAGGAGCAACATCTAAAAGCCACAAAGTAGCTGCAGTTTCTAGTCCAGCTAGTGGGCAAACAGCATTGCTGATGAGACAACCTTCCATCTATGACCCTTAGTTCTCCCAAAAAGGTCTGTGCTGCAAACTCCCCACTGTATTCACAATATCTTACTGGACTGTACCAAATTTCTCCTCCAAGAGACACACGTGATTAATCTACTGTCAAAGAGTGAAAATCTCTTCCAGTATCAGCTGCCTTTTCCTGGATCTCATTCAGCCTCAGGCTTCACTGTGTGAGCATGCAGGATCTTGTATTGGAAAGTTCACGATGGGGAAATGCATCTTTCTAGGAAAAAAATCACTTGCTTCATTTTGCTGTTCAAAGCCTTTAAACCCACGTTGTGAAACTGCCTGAACATGCAGGCAGGGATCTTCTGAAGACGGGTAACACATCCACCCCTCTTCTCACTGAGCTTTCTGTACAAGATGTGATTCCCACTTTAGTCTCTGGGACAAACCATAGCTCAGTTAAACCTCTTCCAGCTTTCTTTTATTCTTAAGACCATTTTAAAAGCCTCAAAACAGCAACAGCTATGAATTCTTCCCACTGCCTATCCTAACACACCTTCTGCAGGGATGTTATTAACAGGTCTTACATGAGATTGTAAAAACTTTAGCAGTGTTTTCACATATAAAGACACAAATTCTTTGTGAGCTATGAAAGCTTCTTCAGGCTCAGTCTGGCCTAACATACCACTGCCAGTTTGCTCCTTGTTCCAGGAATTGTGTATGGAATGACAGATCCCTTGTGTTCACATCAATGCAACCTCTCCCAGTGCAAATAATCACACACAAAGTGAGGAGTGAATCACTAGAAGAACATACCACATCCATGGCTTTCCCAGGCTCTCCCAAAGCACCAAGTTCTAGCTCTTGTCCATTGCAAACCTGTGATCTAACTTTCTGAAGGACTTAAGTCAGGGCAAGGCAGTTGCTCTGCCTAAGATGCAGCTCACAAATCTGTTTTCAATTTTAATTCTCTGCAGATAACCGTGAAGTTTACAATCCTTCCACATCACACATGCTGCTAGGGCCAAGGCACAGAGCTAAACTATTGAGAAATGAGAGTCTGGCACTGATCATCTCCTGGCCAAAGCTTCCATCAGATCTATGCATTAATCTGCAGTGGTAAATATTCTTTGAACTTTGGATACTCCTTGGAGGCAATAACTGCTCTGTCAGCAAGACTCAGTCCCTGGATTTGTGGAGAGGGCAGAGTTTTATTGGCAGCAGCCACTCTTCCCCAGAGTTCTTACAGAGCAATATGCATTGCTTTAATTCTCCATATTTCAATACCTGGCTGCTCCTCAGCTCTCCCACTACTCTCTGACCACAGAGGCAAACCAACAAGCAGCTCCTGATGAGACTAGAGCTGCCATTTCCCCAGTAGGTTAATATTAGAACTGGCACAGGATTTGGAATATGGACAGACTTCATATCCCAGAGTCACTCATCCCTTTCTTTGCTAAGGTGACGATAGCTGCCCCAAATCCCACAGCTTAAACAAAATCAGCACTCAAGTATAGATCTGACTCAAGCAACTAGAAACCACTCAGTCCACAGAACAAACCCTGAAATTCAAGGAAGAGTCTTGGAAAAAAAAAAAAAATCAGCACTCCAGGAATTTCTCACAATTCTCAAGATCCCAGTAAAGGTATGAAATACCTTCCTGAAATAGCAGAAAGAGCAGAGTGGCTCAAGTTCACTAACAGCAGTGGCAGGTCAGAACTTCAGGATTAGACTGGGCTTCATAGCTGGGCATATGTCCAAAAGCCAGACTGCTCCTTGGCAGTGCTGGGATACATGATATCAATTAACACATTTTACTTACTTGCTTTACAGTGGCTTTGAAGGCACCCAAAATAGCAGCTGCTCCACCACAGTCTCGTTTCATTCCAGGCATAGTCGTCTGTTTAAACAGAACCATTGAATTATTTCTCTTGCTTTAAAAAGAGAATTTCACAGTAATGCCTGACACAACTAGTGTTTCTGATGCTTCTGTGCCTCTGGTTTTGACAGTGCTCAGCTGTAACTGAAACAAGGAACATCTGCTCATTGATGGATCTGGCCTTGGAGCTGAAAAATACTAAATCTCTGCTGCTAATTTGTTAGCAAAGTGAAAAGAAAATTGTTTACAAGATTCACACTAAGGCCAACGCAAATAGGTTTGGGATCTTTCTCTGAAATCAGAAATTAAACATCTTTGTTTCTAGCTTTCTCCTAGTAGTAGCAGTGAGCAGTATTTAAAGGGCAAAATATCAGGTTGCTCTTTAATTGCTCTGTAAAGTGTTCCTTGAATCCCATTTGGTCTTTGCCCCTGATAGTTTGTGTCCATATGGATGCCAGCAGGTCAAGTGTTTACTCAAGAAAAAGTACCCTGGTTCCCTACAGACATGAACTGAATTATTTTCACCAGAAAACAACACTGCAGGCAAAGGCAGCACAAGTGTTTCTGTACCTTTCCCTTAATGCTGAGTCCTCCAGTGTCATACACAATACCTTTGCCCACCCAAGCAATGGTCTGTGTTGCACCATCCGGAGTGTGACTGAGAACTGCCAGGGCTGGAGGATGCAGAGCTGCTTTGCCAACTCCATAGATACCTGGAAAACAGAGAATTAAACCATTCGTGGGGAAGAAAGTTTGTGGGGAGCACCTGTGGCTCTGCAAAACACCTTGGCATACTATGGGCAACAAAACTGCTTCAAAAAGGTGCAAATAAGACATTACATTGGAGATGGCAAAACATTCCAATTAACTTCTAGGGGGGAAAAAAAGAAGTGGAATATTCAGGAAAATATACCTCCAAAGCCTCTCTCTTTCAGCTCTTCATCTCGGATAATGGTAGGAGTAATCCCAAGATCTTTGCCAACTTTTTTGATTTCCTTAATCATTAAAAGGAAAAGGATATTGTCAGTCAGTCATCAGGACACATCTGGGTACTCAGTTAAGGCATTTGTGTGAATTTTGCACGCATACACATTCAAACATTCTCAATTTTGGGAGTGGTGCTAGTTTTCCAATGGCCTAATTCCACTGAGGCATCCTTGACTTACTATGGCATGAAATACAAATTTGACCTTTAAGCTCTGCCAGTAAAAGAAATCTTCAGAGGTAAAGGCCAGCTGTTCACTCCATTGGATCATGATGCAATGGCACAGGAATAATTTCATTCTCAACAGCTTTCCAGATCCTTGTGATAAAGCTCATTTGGAAACAGGTCAACTCTCCCATAATTTCAGAAACTCTTACCACCATCAAGCTTAAGACAACACTAGCACTGGCAGAGAAACAGTGCCATGACCAAATTAAGAACTCATGTCTTCTGCCTCCCAGAGTGTCTTACTCTGCCCTGGAGTGCCTCACTCCAAGCTGCTCACTCTGACTCCTTCCAACTTTGCAAAGTTCTACGAAATCTTAAAGGCCAAAGCAACAGCCTCAGCATCCTTGGTTTGATGTGCTTCCCACTGCTGACATGCAGGTTTTGCTCAGAGACAGCAACACTAGGTTTTGATTACTGTAGTCTAGACTTACAATTAGTAACTCTTACTCATCAGGTGCATTACCTACCTCCAGGAAGCTATCTGTGTTCATCTCATTGCATGGGGTGTCCACGATTCGAGCAGCCAGCCTGACTCCCTCTGTAGCACTTGCCAGGCACTGTGAAAAGAGGTGAGGACACCTGAGAGCAGCCCTTGCTTTGGCTGGTTTTCTGCACAGCTTTGCATTTAGCCCTGTGCAGCTGACACCAGATGTGTGGTTCTTCTGCAGCACATTAGTGCTGAACTGCAACCATCACAGCACAGTATTAAATAATGTCAACCAAGCTAAGCATCATTTTTTCTACTTCTTAAACTCATTTTTCCATGTGCTCTAATTTCTAAGCAACTATATTCCTTCCCCCAGTGAACTGCTATTGCAAAATTAGTAGCAATCTCCACTGTCAAAGGGAGATCAAGAAGGCAAAGTGAGGTGGAGGAAAGAAAGATAAGAGGAAGCCAATTCAGGATGTTCACAATGAGCTTATGGGCTGCTCAGGGTGGAAACCTGCACAGATTGTGTAATCTACAACATGGCAAACCAGAGTTTGGACGTGGGAGGGAGAGTGGCTGAGGGCCATAAAGATTACTACCATAAAACATTCTATAGGGCAGGCCCATGGATGTGGAATATTTCACACTTGTGCAAAACATGAATGCACCTGTTTCCTCTTTCCTGTGGCAAAATGGACTGACCCTCACCTGGACTGAGTGAAAACTTATCTAAGCAGGAGTGGGCAGAATCAAAATGGTCAAGAGTGAGCATGCCAAGGCTGTTTCCTTAAAGAAGGATCCTCCTGGCAAAAAGGACAACAAAGATACTAAGCTTCAACTTTTAACTCCCATGAATCGACAACTTGAAACTTTGAGACTAGGTGGAAGGAAGCTTTGTGCAAGCTTTCCAGGGGCCACACCACACTGCAGACCACACACAGCAGATGGGGGAGTTAAGATGGGTTTCACAGGAATCTGATGTGTTGGACAGTCACTCGTGCTGAGGTATCTGAAGTTTGGCTTGGCCAGACCAGCCCAAGACTCCATATACTTGGTATCCCAGCAGACTCATAAGCCTTGGCTTGCTTTGGAATGGTGCCTGACTCCCTACAATTACCTTTGATTGCTTTACTTTCCCTGAGGGATAAGGACCTCCTCAGGAGCCAAGCTCAGTCTGGAGTGATTCCCCACTAGGGCCATGCAGGCAAATGGAGCTGCTCTAACCCAAAGGCTAAGCCCAAGGGGAACAGCAGAACCTACAGAAATAATCTCTGCCTGTGATTGTGTTTCCAAGGCACTCCAGAGCACCTGGATAATGGCAGCCTTTAATAAGTGTCTTGTAAAACTCTGACAATCCCTGCTAGTCCTCCCCATAAAACATCCTGGACAATGCAGTGGGTGTAAAACACAACATGCCAAGGGAGAGGTTTAGATAAAAACATCTTACCACATACCTCTTCCATGCTCTACTTCAGCTCTCTGGTGCTGGCTGAATTTAAGGGGTGCAAACCTAGCTTGGAGTAAGCCAACAATAGTTTTGGCATGGACATCAGGGGGAGAACAGGAGGTAGAAATAACTGCAGCTTTGTTTTCAAGTTTAAAATAACCCAAGTGGTTTGGACTCTACCTATCCAAAGGAACTATTTTTGACACCAGTTAGGCTTTTCCTGATTTGGGGCATGGAAAAACTGAGTGATCAGCAGTTGTACTCAGAGAATGTCTGTCTTTGCCACCTTCCTGAAAACTGGTCTGGCACCATTTGCTGGGGCCAAATCAGTTCATAAAGTAAGGACCAAGTATTTCGAGGAAATCATACTGGAAAAAAAAATCCCAAACCCAAAGCTCCAGTTCTGTGAATTTCAGATGCAGCAACACTATCTCCTTTGCCAAACCCACTGCCAAAACTCGTAATGGATTTGCATAACCTCTCTGACTGACGAGCTAAGGGCACATCCATCTGTACAGAACCTGGAGCACTGAACAGGGAGTTCCCCAACAGCTTAACTGCAAACCTTGGAATGGCTTTTCAGTTTATGGATCTCAGAGAGGAATGACCTAACGTGCTAAAAGTGACCTGATGTGGAGTTTCCTCGTCAGGTGTAAGGGAACAGTCTTTGATTATCTGCTACTGAAAGGTAACTTTAGACATCTTTAACTGTTATGTATAGCTCATCTCCAAGCTGCATCCTTTCTTAGGGTCTTGTTTCTGGCTCCAGTGCTGCCAGAAAAACTCAGCCAAAGAGGTATATCAGACAGAAATAGCAGAGGCCATATGTGATCCCAGAATAAACAACTCTTAGTGATTTCACTGTGCTATCCACCTGCACAGTCACAGGCAGATTTTGGCTGGGTGGAAGAAAGGGAGAAACCCTCACACCAAAACAATGTAGTATTAAAGGCTAAAAATACACTATTTGCATCTATGATACACAAGAGAGAGGAAATATTTTCTTTCTGCTACAGTTTGGTGCTTTCCACGTCTGAAATCTAGATTGTGAGTAACACCTTCATCCTTAGCTGCAGTAATATGTTCAATATTTCTGCTCACAGATGCTGTGCACTGACCAATTCCAAGGAACTTTGAGCTAGAAGGATTTATTTTAGATACAACACCTACTCCACATGCAGCTTGAGACAACACCTCTTCCGTAAGCAGCTTGAGACAATTTGTGTATGCAACAAATCAAAGGAAACAAAAGTATTGCAGGAAATAATGGGGGGGGAAATGACAGAAACCTCCTCAAAATCTTACTTTGAGTGTTGCCACTTCTATGGGTCCATTGTTTTGTCCAACCAGGAAGAACTCCACTGTTACAGTCTTCTTCTCCGTGCGCCGGGACGCGCTGGATCGGTGAGTGAACAGCGGGAACGCCCTGGCCAACGCGCAAGCCGAAGCGAAGACTTCAGACCTCTCACACACCATCTGAAACAACAGCCAGAAGGAAAACAATCAGGCACCAGGGATGGGGAAAGCAACATTTAAAAGGATCTGTTACTTGAGGTAGCATTGGTGAAGAGGGGAGGAAAAAAAAAGGGGGGGGATGGATGGGAAAAAACTGCCGAATCAAGACAGACTCCTACGTCATGGCATGGATGGAGAGGGAGCATGAACAGTGCCACATCCAACTGGTTCAGTTCATTTCCCAAATGGAAATGAACGACATTGCTGGACTGCGTGGGAATTACTCCATTTAATTATACGAGTGCAATTAGCACAGGTTAGCCTACAGATCAAGACGGGAGAAAGCCTGGGAACCATCAGTGTGTGCTCCAAAGAAATACAGAAATTATATGAGAATGTGGCTAATATTCACCCAAAAGCTTTTAAACAGGTAGAATGTCGTGCTGAAGTTCATTACAGAAATTACCAATGGAAAGCAGTTTTAGCAAAACGTTTTTCAAGTTAACAGTAAGGATAAAAATTAAGGAAGAGTTATTAGTCTTGCAAATAAGTTTTCTCAGTGAGGAGTATAATTAAATGCTGTTACTGACATCGACTGTCTCTTCTCTAACAACCCACAAATCTGAGGAAGCCACAGAAGCAAATAAATTAATCAGGCTCATACAGATGACCAAAGCTACAAGAGCTTGTCCTGCAAAGGGCTCACACTGATGCATTAGTATACTAATGACTATATTAGTATACTAATGACTATATTCAAGACTTTTGAAACTCACTGAGAACACAAACAAGGCACCTTAAATGGGTTATGTGATGCAGACACAGACACTGCATCAGCCTCCTAAAGCCTGTGCCAGTACCATAAATCCTAGTTTGGAAAAAGCCACTTTGCATGGCATTCCTAGTTGATGATGCTCCACACATACCCAACCTTCATCCCCTCCAACTGCTTGAGCATGCATAAGCTATTACAGTCAGGTCTTGCTTATGTGCCAGTGCAAAACCACTTCAGTCAGTATAATTACATCGGCAAAACTTGTCCACCTCCAGTCTCCTTGGAGACAGCTAAAACCTGGGAAAAGTCGAGAAAACACTTGACTAGACATCTCACCAGAAGCATTTTAACAGGCACTTACAACAATACATCTGCTGACCCCTCCTGGGAGGCAGTTTCTGACCAGGCGCGTGATGAACTGTGCGGCCGAGGGGCTGTTGTGCCTGCTGACCCTGGAGGGCAGCGCGGCCACGGTGGCATAGTTCAGGTAGAGGGGACAGCTGTCCGTGGGGTTTGGGTTCAGGGTGCTCAGAGCTGACTGCCAGACCTGGGGAGAAAAAAAGGATTTCAAGACAAACTCTATCAGACTCATTTTCCCATCTCGTTCCCACTGGATTTAGGCACTTAGGGTTAAGGTGGTGCGAGCAAAGAAATTGTGGGCATACTTTTAAATGCAATAGGCTCTGAAGTGAAAAGAGACAGTAAATACAAAACCCTTATTAACCAGGAATTAACCATTAGTAAATGCAACAGGCCCTGGAGTGAAGAGACAGTAAATACAAACCCCTTCTTATTAAGCATTACTAAATGCAACAGACTCTGGAGTGAAAAGTGACAGTAAATACAAACCCCTTATTATTATGCATTATTAAATGCAACAGGCTCTGGAGTGAAAAGTGACAGTAAATACAAACCCCTTATTATTATGCATTATTAAATGCAACAGGCTCTGGAGTGAAAAGTGACAGTAAATACA